AGAGAGAAAAAAAAATCATTAGCCAATCTAAACCTGACATTCCACTGACATTTCTGCCCGACACCACAATGAATATGCAAATACCTCAGTTAGATTGTAGAAGATCCGCCTGTCGTAGTGACATATTCGTTTATTCCTCGCTAGTCAATCTGACAGGAAGGTTTCCCACCCTACCAGACTAATAGATTTAGTAGTGTATTAATTTCGTCGTCAAAGAGTCCATTTAGAACCCGAAACGTAAGGATTTTAATCTACCCCTGGAATGTCGCTTCTCGTTTTCTGTTGGATGGCGGATCTCTTGATAAGTGCGCGGGGTAGGGGTGGGGTTTGGGGGAAGGGTGATGGTGAGGGAGGGAGGGAGGGAGGGAGAGGGAGGGAGGGAGGGAGGAAGGGAGGGAGGGAAGGAGAGGGAGGGAGAGGGAGGGAGGGAGGGAGAGGGAGGGAGGGAGGGAAAGGGAGAGAGGGAGGGAGGGAGAGGGAGGGAGGGAGGGAAGGAGGGAGGGAGGGAAGGAGGGAGGGAGAGGGAGGGAGGGGGGGGAGGAAGGGAGGGAAGGAGGGAGGGAGAGAGAAAGAGAGAGAAAGGGAGAGAGAGAGAGAGAGAGAGAGAGAGAGAGAGAGAGAGAGAGAGAGAGATAGGGAGGGAGGGAGGCTGGGTTGGTGGGTTGGAAGATAGGATAGGGTTAAGGATGGAGGGAAGGAGGATAGAAGTCGGAAGGTAGGGAGAGATAATAAAAAGGAGGAAAGGTGAGAAGGAGTAAGGAAGGAATGGAAGGAGGGAGGATGAAGGGAAGGAGTAAGGAAAGAAGGGAGAGAGGGAGAATGAAGGGAGGGCTGTAGACAGGAAGGGAAGGAAGAGCAGCAAGAGTGAATTCCATTTTTAATCACAGCATTCAGATCAAAAGCTTAAAAGCCTTGCATTAGTTTGTTTTAATACGCATTCTACACTTTGGGAGTTTCGGTTTTAGCTGTTGGGAGGCGATCCATAATTTAATCACGCAGACGATCTTTAAGTGGCGTATTTACAGTCATGTGTTTTTATCACCTTTGACCAGTTACTTTATCGCGACCTTTTTTTGGGCCATAATACCTTATCAGAAGGTATACGTACCATTAATATTTTTGTTTAAAGTTATACCTTCAGAAAAAAAAAAATCAAGACCTAGTTGCTTTCAAAAGGGGAAAAATGAGGCATTAAAAAAGAAAAAAAAAGTCACGAATGCCTGAAATATTTTGTGCTCGCTACAGCTAATCGGCCTATATAACTTTCCCGCCAGTCGAGTCTCTTGCCGGAATACGGACGTAAAAAAACTTTTCATTTATCTTTTATAGGTAACGCGAGGGTAGGTGAAGGCTAATCTAACATTATGTAGTTCGCTAGAAACGTGGATAAAAGTCGCGTACTTTTCATCTTTTTTATTTATTTATTTATTTATTTATTTATTATTTTACAAGCGCTAACTTTTCCTTGAGGTTCCGAAATGGATTTAGTTCGCTACCGCTTGAACACAATCTCCGAAAAAGCTACGAATGTATTTATATATTTCTTCTTCTTCTTCTTCTTCTTTATTTTATCTTTATCTGTGTGTCTGTTTGTCTTTCGCTTTTTCTCTTCCCGTCTGTCTTTTTCTCTACCTCCCTCTCTTTCTTTTGCTCCTCTCTCTCTCTTTCTTTTGCTCCTCTCTCTCTCTTTCTTTTGCTCCTCTCTCTCTCTCTCTCTCTCTCTCTTTCTTTTGCTCCTCTCTCTCTTTCTCTCTCTCTCTCTCTCTCTCTCTCTCTTTCTTTCTCTCTCTCTTTCTCTCGGTGTTTCTCTCTTTTCATCTCTACCTTGTACACTTTCTCCTGTTTGTTTCCCTCCCTCCGTCTCTCCCTTCATCTCTTCCATCCTCCCTCCCTCGCCCACTCTCTCCGTTTGTCCCTTCCCTTCCTGCCCCCTTTCTCTCTTTCTCTCCCTCCCTCCTTTCCTTTCTCCCTCCCTCCCTTTTTGTCCCCATCCGTCCTACCCCCTCTCTCTCTTTCTCTCCCTCCTTCCCTCCTTTCCTCCCTGTGTCTTCTCGCCCACTATCTCCCTCCCAGTCCCACTCTTTGTCCCCTCCCTTCCTACTCCCCCTTTCTCTCCCTCGCTGTCTCTTCTCGCTCGCGCTTTCCCCTCTCTGCCCCTGCCTCCTTCCTTCCCTCCCTCCCTCCCTCTGTCCCCTCACCCACTCCCTCCCTGGGCCACTCTTTGCCCCCCTCCCTTCCTACCCTTCTCTCTCTTTCTCTCCCTCCCTCCCTTCCACCCTGTGTCTTCTCGCCCACTCTCTCCCTCCCTTCATCTACCTTCTGCCCTTGCCCCCCTCCCTCCCTCCTTCTGTCTTCTCAGCCACTCTCTCCCTCTCTTCCTCTCTCTACCCCTGCCTCCCTCCCTCCCTCGCTCTGTCCTCTCACCCACGCTTTCCCTCTCAGTCCCATTCTTTGTTTCCCTCCCTTTCTACCCCATTCTCTCTTTCTTTCCCTCTCTCTCTCCCTGTGTCCTCTCGCCCACTCCTTCCCTCCCTCCCTCCCTGTGTCTTCTCGCCCACTCTCTCTCCCTCCCTACTTCCCTTCCTCCTCCCTCCCTCTGTCCTCTCGCCGACTCTCTCCCCCTCTCCGTCCCATTCTACCCCCTCCCCCCCTCACCCCACTCTCCATTTCACCTCACACCTCTGCCCCGAAAGCACTCTGGTCCATCTGCCACTCATCCCCGTGACAGGTAAGTGTTCCTATCCGTCAGCGAGGCTTCGGCGCTGTTCCCAGTCAGTCAGGAAGGTAGAGCGGGCCTGTGAATTCCAACGGGGGCGGCGTTCCCTTTGACGCTATCGATAGAGAGCAGGTTCTCCAATCTTCAGTAAGGCGTGATAATCCTTTTCCAGATGCATAGTTGCCCAGTGAGCTGTATTGTCTTCGGCTTTGGCTTTGATGTCGTCAATTTAGCTGTGTTAATCATGAAGAACAGTACGTTATCTCGATATCTTTGTTTTTTTGGTGTTTGTGTTTGCTTGTTTGATTGTGTGTGTGTTTTTGTGTTTATGTGTGTGTGTGTGTGTGTGTTTGTTTGTGTATGTGTGTATGTGTGTGTGTGTGTTTGTGTGTGTGTGTGTGTGTGTGTGTGTGTGTGTGTGTGTGTGTGTGTGTGTGTGTGTGTATGTGTGTGTGTGTGTGTGTGTGTGTGTGTGTGTGTGTGTGTGTGTGTGTGTGTGTGTGTGTGTGTGTGTGTGTGTGTGTGTGTGTGTGCGAGTGTGTGTGTGTGCGAGTGTGTGTGTGTGTGTGTGTGTGTGTGTGTGTGTGTGTGTGTGTGTGTGTGTGTGTGTGTGTGTGTGTGTGGTTGTGTGTATGTAAATGCATGTGCAATTATGTTTTGTTATATTTTGTGTGTTTGTGTGAAAAATGTCAATAAAATTGCATACTTCACTGATTAAACTGGGATTAAAATTTACCAAAAATGCATTTGTCATTCAGGAGTTCAATGAATATGAAATTAAGAAAAAAATGCAAGAAATTAATTAAACAAACGAAAAAAGTAATCATTCATCAACATTAAAAACTACAAGAACAGTTCATGAATATAATAAACAGAAAAAAACAACAACAAGAATAACAACAGCATCGATGAACAAAAAAGTAAATACATATATATAATACACACACACACACACACACACACACACACACACACACACACACACACACACACACACACACATATA